TATCGCAAATGTCAGTATGAATTAAGTCTAAAGGATTTGAATTCCTTTCAACAGACTTATAAGGATGTTTTACAAACTTGGATTCAACACATATTTGACATTTCGATTTATTACACTCGAATTTAGGCAATACTTCTAAATTAATTAACTTCCGCAAGGTTTTATAATTGACATGTCCTAAACGAATATGCCATAAATCATTTGACTCCAATAAATAAGAAGAAGCTGAAATTTTATTCATACTGTCAACAACCATTACATTGAGTTTGAAAAGTCCCTCCGTGAGGTAGCCTTTTCCAACATACATTTCGTTCTTGCTTACAACAACTTTATCAGAAACAAATACACATTTGAATATATTCTTTACAAGTAAAAAAGTAGAAACTAAATTCTTCCTAATAGTAGGAACATGAAGAACGTTGTTGAGCGTTAACACATTGCCGGAAGTCATCTTCAGGAATATCTTCCCATAACCTTCAATCTTGGCTGTTGCATTATTTCCCATGGAAATTTCTTCTTCGGGACCAGCAGTAGAGTAAGTCGCAAATGCTTCTTTGACATCACAAACATGTTGAGTGGCTCCAGAGTCAATCCACCACTCCTTTGGATTTCCAACTAGGTTGCATTCCGAAAGCATTGTGCAAAGATCATCAATGTCATTATTCTTCTCCACTATGTTGGCTTGTCCCCTCTTATTATCCTTTTTCGGGAGACGACAATCAGGGCTTTTGTGACCAACTTTTCCACAATTGTCGCAACTGCCTTGAATTTCTTTTTGTTCTGCTCCTTAGTTTGTCCAGAAGACCTCTTCCTCTTCTTACTTTTTGGAGCAGTCTCCTCAACGATATTAGCTCCCATGATCGTTGAATTTCCACGAGACTTCTTCTCGGCTGTTTTGTTGTCTTCCTCGATCTTTAGACGTATCACAAGATCTTCCAACTTCATTTCTTTGCGCTTGTGCTTAAGATAGTTCTTGAAATCTCTCCACGAATGAGGCAATTTTTCAATCATAGCAGCCACTTGAAATGCTTCATTCACGACCATACCTTCAGCAATAAGGTCATGAAAAATAAGTTGAAGCTCCTGAACTTGGGTTCCCACAATTTTGCTGTCTATCATTTTATAGTCTAGAAACTTGGCAACCACGAACTTCTTCAAGAATGCATCTTCTGTCTTGTACTTCTTCTCAAGTGCGTCCCATAATTCTTTCGAAGTATTCATTGCACTGTAAACATTGTACAAGTCATCTTCTAAAGCACTTAAGATATAGCCTTTACAAAGAAAATCTGCCTGCTTCCACGCCTCAACAACCATGAACTTTTCATTGTCCGGCATGTCCGCAGCAGGCACTAGAGGCTCTTCACTAGTGAATTTCTGCATACCAAGTGTGGTTAGCCAGAAAAACACCCTTTGTTGCCATCCTTTGAAGTTGGTTCTAGAAAATTTCCCCGGTTTCTCGGCCGTAGGAACAGCAGTGCCGCTTGACGAGGCTATCGTCGTTGTACCAACAGTCGCAGAAGGATTTCCATTATTATTTTTCATTTCTTACTGTCAACAATAGAAGAGATCAATTAATGGCAAAACCAAAACAGTAAATAATACTGCAATCAATAAACAGTACGTAATCAAAACAACTGAAGTTTTTATATACTGTTTTACAGAAAAACGATGAAGTTTTTATGTTCTTCAAATCGTTTTCTGAATTTCAATACTCTGATGAAGTTTTTATATCTTCAAATCAGAATAGTAAAATTCAGACAGAATACAGAATATAATAAATATAATTTCCTTAAGATTGTTATCAATTTGTATTTCTGTAAATAAATTAAATAATAATCTTTCTGAAAAACAAAAACAGAAAGTTAGTAGAAATTTAATTTCGAAAAACAGTAAATTTCTTCAAAATAAATTTTGAAAACGTGGTAGGAACAAATCGAGCCCACTGAATACACAGTGTGTCCTTAAGGAAATTATTCCCCTCAAGTACCCGAGGTTCTGGAATATATCCTCCCAGGATAGAACCATTTAACTCACCGGAGTGTTGGTACCAAAAATGCCAATGATCAGCGAACCACTCGATGGCAGCAAAACACACTGGAATTTTAGTGCAGAAGAAGAAGAAGAAGAAGAAGATCATTAGAAAATTTCGTAAGTAAATATTCTGGGATTTGAAGGAATATTTATAGCCAATTTTGTACTATTTCTGAAAAGGTTTGCAACCTTTCAGGTGTGAAATTAAAAACGGATTTAAAATAATTCGGGAAAGAAAAACGGGCCGAACCGGACCGCGGGTCATGGGTTATTCCGGATTGAATTTTCTTTAATTAATTTACTTAATTAATTAAATATTTGAAAAGAATTTTGTCCAAAAAGATTAATCAATCAATCTTTGACAAATCCGAATCCGAATCTGAATCTGAATCCGAATCCGAATCCGAATCCGAAGCCGAAGCCGAAGCCGAGCCGAGCGAGCGAGCGACGACGACGGTGAAAGGCTTGCCTTCTTCTTAGCTCTTTAAGAGCTAAAAGATGAGCTTCTCTTTATATATATACACAAAGATTTTCTTTCCTTCTATCAATGAGGGACAAAGTGCATTAGTGAACTCATTTAAAATTTCACTTCCCTCCATTTCTTTTCCCACCATTTTCCATTCACACTTCTTTTGTTATTAAACAACAAAATCCAACAGTAAATATTCATATGAAAGCATTTTCAAAATAGTACATGGCATTTTATTTCTTATCAAATCATGTATTCCAATTTCGGTAGCGGTAATCATATCTCAAGTCATAGTAAAACATGTCTAGTAATAGTGAGAACATATTAAATAAATGTAAACATCTCAAGTATACTATTCGGTACGATATCAAGTAAAGGACTTGTCCCACATGCAATTTCAAACATTCGGTAACACATTTATTTTAAAATAATATATAAACCATGCAGGTTATGAAAACACAAATTGCGGTAAGATTACTACTCACAGTACTCGTGTCCCCAAAGTGTCACCTCGAGCAGAGTCCACAAGACTCATTCAACTACCTATATTATCACAAATCCGGTCTACATATGAGCTTCGTGAACAATTAACATAACTGGTCTTATCATGACACATCTAGATAATTCCCTCTTTTTTTTTTGTTCCTCGAAAATATAGCTACTGATTCTCTGTTAATCAAGTTAGTAGTAGCTAAATCAACAGGAACTACGATTTTCTACTTATTCTTATTTATTTATTTATTTTGGATTGATATTATGGTACTTCTATTTACAGAGACAAGGTAAAAGGAATTGATTTAAAAGGACCGTTTTCTGTTCTTACATAGTGCTTTACAAGCACTAGTGGTTCTTAAATAGGCTAGATTATTTGTTATGAAATTAATAAAATACTTATTCATCTAATTCAAAATTTATATTTGTGCTAATCAAAAGTAACTTATCTTTTCTTGTTTCTAATTAACGAAACAATCGTTAAATGGGCTAGGTTGAGTAAATTTTACTTACCTTGTTCTTCCCCACTTTATAAATTCCTTCAACGAGAATAGATAAAATCTTCCTTTCTTTTTCCTTCTACTGTGATGAATAGCTTCTGCCGAAGTTTGATATGCTTCAATACCTAACCCTTCCTTTGTCTATCTTGATGCCGTGAGTTTTCCCTTCCATTAATCCCTTTTAATTTGATTAGGATTACACCCAAATCTCCTTTGTCTATTTGTCTGTTGCGTACCCTTTCCCCTTAGCCCTTTTCTTCTTATTCATTTTTTTTTGCCATATTTCATCTGATGGGTTTCGGCCCTTTTTGTGCATTTCACTTTTTTTTTGTTTTGTTTACTTAGTTAGTTTGCTAATGACTACTATATCCTTGTTTAAAATTATGGGATATTACATTCTCCCCACCTTATAAAATTTGGTCCCCGAATTTAACTCAAGTACACACCTGTAGACTGAAATAAATGAGAATATTTGATGCGCATATCATATTCTACTTCCCAAGTAGTTTCTTCAATGGTATGATTTTTCCATAAGACTTTAACGACATGATTTCTTTTGATCGTAACTTTCTTATTTGTCTGTCAGCAGTAGCGATCAACTCTTCGTCATAAGTTAACTTCTCATCATGTAGTGTAATTGGTGCTTCACGCACATGGGAGGAGTCCAATATAGCTTCTTTTTTTTTTTATATAGAATGAAGACATGGAATACTAGATAATAAAAACAATAACTCAGAACTAAATGGTAAGCGGCAACTCCCATCACTTCAAGTATCTCTTATAATTCTCAGGCTGGATTATTTGGTCTCTTGGAAACTAAGGTTAAGAGAGGAAAGGCTCAGAGAGCTGCTCTTAACCTTTTCAATAGATGGTCTTACAGTACTAACCTAAGTCAACATAAAGGAGGAAGAATTTGGCTTCCATGGAAGCCTTTGGTATTTGATATGTTTATATACAATGTCATAGAACAACTAATACACTATGGAGTACAACACAGAGGTACAAAAAGGAAACTCTCAGTTACAATGGTATATGGATTCAATGATGCTGCATTAAGAAGGAAATTATGGGAGGATATCAAGGAGATTCATGAGCATCTGAGCCTTGGGCAGTTATGGGAGATTTCAACTGTGTTTTGAATAGAGTGGAAAGAATTGGGAGTCCGGTTACAATGTCAGAAATAGGAGAGTTTAAGCAGTGCGTGGATGAATGTACACTACAGGATATGAAGCCTTCAGGGGCCTTTTACATGAAATAATAAGCAGGGAGGTAATGACAGAGTATACAACAGGATTGATAAGGTGTTGGTGAACAATATAATGGCCCTACCAGATTCAATAGTATACTATAGGAACGAGGGGACATTTGATCACTGCCCTGCAATAATAAGATGGGCTGGAGAACAAAAGAAGCAGCATATATTCATGTACTTTAACATGTGGAGCATGTTACCAGTATACGAGGAGAAAGTCAAGCAATGATGGAAGACAAACAGAACTGGGACCAAAATGTATGAGATGGTGGGAAAACTAAACAGTTTGAAGGGAAAACTAAAGCAGCTTAGTAAAGAAAAGTTCAGTCATATAGAAAAGCAGACAGATCAAGCACAGGAAGAATTACTGCAGTGTCAACATAGATTGCAGCAAAGACCTCTTAATCGTGAACTACAAGAGGAAGAAGCAAGGATAATCAGTAAGTATAAGAGATTGAATGAAGCTAGACATCAATATCTAAGTAAAAAAAATAAGGTGCAATGGCTGAAAAAATGGACCTAAACACTAAATTCTTTCGCGGTATGATGAAGGGCAGAAGGAATATGAACATAGTCTTTTCCATAACTAATGCACAAGGAGTCAATAGAACAGAGATGGATGAAATTGCTAAGTCTTATTGAATTCTACACTACTTTGTTAAGGACTAACAAAAAGGAAAGAGAGCATGTCAATAGTAGCTTGATTCGCCAAGGACCAATAGTTACAGAAACTCAAAGGAGAATTTTAGAAGAAGAGTTTACAAAAAGAAAGGTTAAAATAGCTTTGTGGGCAATCAATGGAGAAAATCACCAGGTCCAGATGGCTATGGAAGCAAGTTTTTCAAAGATAGTTGGGAAGTGGTGGGGAGAGATGTAGTGGATGCTATAATGGAATTCTTCAGAACAGGGAAAATGTTAAGAGTGCTGAATCATACAGTGATAACCATTATACCTAAGAGCTCTCATGCTACAAGTGTGGGAGATTACAGGCCTATTGCAGGGTGTAATACAATATACAAGGTGATATCTAAAATGCTATGTAACAAGCTTAGATTGGTACTGCCTACATTGATTTTTGCGAACCAAAGTGCATTTGTTTCAGGGAGAACCATAGTCCAAAATATTCTGATTTTCCAGGATTTGGTAAGATTGTACAACAGGAAGAACACTACTCAGAGTTGTTTAATCAAGATTGATCTCAAAAAGGCATATGATACTGTAGAATGGACGTTTGTGGAAGAAATACTCTATGCAATGAATTTTCCTCAGAGATTCATTAAATAGATCATGGCAAGTATAACTACTACTCAATAGCATTGCAATAAATGAAGGGCTATATGGGAGTATAACAGGGAAGAGAGGTTTACGATAGGGTGATCCAATATCACCCCTGATATTTGTAGTCTTCATGGAGTATCTTACTAGAATCTTGAATAAAGTAGCTGATATGAGGGATTTTGGCTATCACACTAAGTGCAGAGGGTTAAAGCTGAATCACTTATGCTTTGCGGATGATATATTGCTATTCTGCAAAGGAAATTATCAATCAGTAATGTTGATGTTAAGAGGTATGCAGTCTTTTTCAAATGCTTCAGGTTTGAGCACTAATGCAGGAAAGTCCAATATATTCAGTGCTAACATGTCAAACCAAGTACTAGAAGACTTATGTGAGGCAACTGGCTATCAGAGAGGGACATTGCCATTTCGATACTTGGGGTACCAATCTCAGCAAAGAAATTATCTATCATGGACTGTGAAGTTTAAATAGACAAAATCTGCTAGAATAAAGACATGGAGCTCGAGAAACCTTTCATATGCTGGTAGAGTTCAGCTAATTAACTCAGTTCTGCTATATGTACATACATATTGGTCATCAATTTTCATCCTACCTAAGGTTGTCTTAAAAAAGCTTAGCGTAATATACAACAACTTACTGTGGGATGGGAGAGAACGGACAAATAACGCTCCATTGATTGCATGAGATATTGTGTATAGACCAAAACACAAAGGAGGACTAGGGATAATTGATTGTATGGTATGGAATGAGGCAGCAATTGCAAAGTATGTATGGAATATTGCTAAAAAGGCAGACAACCTATGGGTGAAGTGGGTGGATCACATATATATCAAAGGGGCCTGCTGGAAACAATACTTGCCACAAACTGATTGGAGTTAGTACTGGAATAGAATTTGCAATGTAATGGAGAAGTTCAAGGGAGGATATATGGGGAATGAATGGCAACAATTAGGAGGAAGGTATTCTATACAAAAACGATACCAATGGAGGAAAGGGGAGATGAATGATTGAACTTGGGCTAGATAGATTTGGAATTTATTAGATGTCCCATAACACAGTTTTATAACCTGGCTGGCAGTACATAAAAGATTACTGACTAGGGAAAATTCGGGGATCCACTGGTACATGAGCATCTATACAAATACAAAGTCCAAAGCAATGTTTAAGAAACAGAAATTGAACAAGTAAAACTGAGGGATAGGAGAGGAGAGTCAAGGCTTGCGGATGCCAGGGCAGCTACCTCGATAATCTTCGAGTGACTGAGCTCTAAGAATGAGCAACCGCCATGACCAGAAACACCTGGATCTGCACAGGAAGTGCAGGGTGTAGCGTGAGTACAACCAACTCAATAAGTAACAAATCTAACATTTGGACTGAAAGTAGTGACAGGTTCGAGTATTACAGCCCACATACAACATTAACAGTACGTAAAGTTACAAAAAATATGACAGTGATATCTCAAAAATTCATAATCTACAGGTAACGGTACAAGAATTTAGACATGCCTTTTCAGGTTGAGGAATAAAACTCAACACATTACAGGGAAGATCCAGCCCAAATGTAAATAAATCCAGGGAATATTCAGCCCAATACAAATAAATCAGTAGCATCTGCGCTCATTGTGGATGTGGAGACTCGGAGGAGCAGATCCAACCCAAGCACTATAATAAGCCAAATCATGGAAATGATCAATAAAGCCTGCTGCAGCATACATCCCGATTCCATAAATATCACTCACAATAGGCCCTCAGCCTCACTTAGTCAATAATCTCTCCACTCACTCGGGCTCACAATACTCATGCTAAGCAGCCCTAATTAGTGATACGATATGTGATAATATAGATTGAGATATGATACGTGATGATGAATGTGACTGATTACATAACTGCATCTAAGCAAATAACTCAACGGCGAAGAACGACTTAGGGTCCCAATAGTACCAGCATATAGCCTAAATATGATTTAATGAATCATAGCTCAAGTGCTCTAACACATAGAGTATAGAAAAGAATATAAGATGGCTACATAGTTCTATGGAATCAACTAAATAATAATTACTACGACGCTCGCCCACATGCTGAACAATTTCCAAGTCAACATCATAGTATTGGAGTGCTTTAAATGAGTCAAGATCAAAAAGCTTATACTTGTAATAATTGACTAAGCTCGTTAGAATTAACTTTGGGTTCATATATCCTAATTGGTTTTTATTTTTCCAATCAATTGTAGCTCTTATATTCATTGCTTAACGGTATAATTGATTGACCTTCATATCCTAATTGGTTTTCCAATCGTGGATTCTGTGTATTTTGCTATATCCCTGTTTTCCTTCATAGTTCGTATCATCTTGCAGAGAGGTTTTGGATTGTTCTATCGTCTTTGTTTTGATTATCAACAACTCAGAAAACTAAAAAACAAAATCGAAAATTCCAAAGATAGAAAAATCACTGTTCACCCGTTATTGTTTATCACTGTTTTGTGTGTCTGCAGAAAAAATTCGAATTCCTTGTTCTCTCTAAGGATTTTTATTCCGAAAATTCTGATTCCTTCATTATCTGAGTTTAATCTGCTGATTTGAGCTGAAAATTCGGAGTTACGATTGAATCTGAGCACAATTTGAACCCCGCCATTGCCGAGCTCATCGAAGAAGCTAGGTTTCATTTGAAATCTAAAATTGGGGCTCGAAATCGACTAGGTGTAACTGATTCTTTTTCGAGACATTAATACCAAAGCTAAATCGGAAGGATTAGCTCGATTGAAACTGATTTAATAGGGTTTTGGTTCAAAGTTGCTAAGCGGGTTAACGGAGAAGGCGACCTAGGGTTCGTTGTTTTCGTGAGTGTCTGAACAAATTAGTTTTGGGGTTTTATTCTAATTGGTGTCGAGAAGTTGTGGCTGAAGCTTGGTTTCATTTGTTTGAGGATTGCTCGACAATCGAATTTCTGGTGCTGAAGCTCGAAGAACAGCTTCAAATTTCTGGAGTTGAGTGCCTGAAGCTGTTGCGTAGCCTATGCACTCCTCGACGCATCAGGTCTGATTTCTCTATGCTTAAACTTGTGTCATTTTCTGGATTCTGAGGGATTTGTGATTGATTAATCGAATAGAAGACTGAACTTCATTACTATTATTTGGGATCGATCGATTTGAATCTGTGAATTCGACTCACGTAGTTTAAGCTTGATTTTTTTTTGAGTATTGAACTGAATTCGTAGTTCGACTTGAGGCTGCCATTGGTTGAAACTATTTGCTGTAAAATTTCTTGGAGATTGTTGAACTGATTTTGTGAGTTCGACTTGATAGTTTCTCTTGTTGTTGGAGTTCTAATTCATTGCTGTTGGTTGAATTCTGGAATTGGTATTAGACTGAAATACTTGGGACTCATTGTTGGGATTGATTGAGTTTGAATTCATAAGTCGACTCGAAGTTGCTAATGAATTATTTTGTGGAGTATCCTCATAGCTGTTGAATTGAATTTTGTTCTTGAGTTTCCCATTCCACTGCACTGTTTGAGTCACAATTTTCTGCCCCTGACAACTGCTAACATTCAGGGACTAGTTAGGGATAGTTTGGTTGAGCTCTCTAAATTAGCTGTTGTTTGGTTCAAGTGTTCTGCACAACTGAGCCACAAATTCTACTCTGCTTCTCCTCTATTGAGCTGCTGAAAATCTGCATTTTGTTGGGAAACTTTGTTGCTTCAGTTGCGTAGTTTTGTATCAGTTAGCTGCTGATAGTTAGTGATGGTTCTTGAACATTGTTGCTGAATCAATTTGAAATTGTGAAACCTGCAACTTGCTTGAGAATTTGCGGAACAAGTTGGTTGTTAGCTGATTGATTAAGGTTCTGTTTGAGTTCTGTTGTTGAAGCTAAGTGTTCAGAAAGGTTCTAGGAATCGAATACAGTCTTAGTACAGGTGTTTTCTACACTGATTGAACTTGAAAGAAGCTGCAGACCTGATCAAGTTTCAGCACTGTTCCTGCACTATGGAGCTGTGTTTGGGAGCCAAAGTTAGCTGCTAGTATCTGCTGAGAAGGGTCCTCAATTGAACAGTAAATTGAGTTGAAAATCTGCAGTATTTTGAGCAGTAAACCTGCCCTCTTTCTACTCTGTTTGGTTCCAAAATTGCTGACTTTGTTTCTGCTATGGACTGAAAGGTTTTGTATCTGTTGTGTGAGCATCTGCATATCAGTTGCATCAGTTGGTTAAGGTGAAAGGCTGAGCAGAGTATCAATTCCATAAGATTGCAACAAGTCCAGAAGTTCAGCAACTTAGTTTTGTCCAGTTTCTGTCCAACTCCAACTGTTAATCTTTTCCTTGTTGTTTGATAATTCTAAACTAGTGTAAACTTGATATTAGTTCACATCAAGTTTTAACCTAGTTCTTTGTGTGCTTAATTTTGTTTCGTGCCAATTGTTTCGTGCTTTTATCTTTTATTATCGTTGTGAATTGTTTGGCTCAAGTCCGTTTGCTTTTAATTGTCCGTCCTTGTGAAAACACAACTTCCACTCCACCCCGAAGATGGTTGGAACTTCTTGTGAAACCTCGGAACTTAAGTTTGCTAGCAATTTTGACATTCGCTACTTGAGCGGAAAAAGGCACGAGTGAATAGGATTTTGAGCATGCAAGAGCCAATTGGTGCAAAGTGTGATACACGAGGGTTGAGCGACATCAAGTGAGTTGGTGAGAACTTTTACTACTAAGTTGTTTGCTCGTTTTGTAGGTATCATGGAGTACGGACAAACTTCTAGTCCTACTTGTGATCCAAGGAGTGAGACTCCGATGCATGAAGTTGTTTCTATGCTTTATGACATAAGCGAGAAGGTTACCAACTTAAGTGAGAAGGTTATCAAGATTACCATATGACAACACCAAACGGATGCAAGGTTGAATTCCATGATAGAGGAATCTCACTTGAGGTAACAAGGAAAGGAGCGTAGTATGACGCTTACTAATTCCTCTACTACGCCCTCTCCTTCACAAGTGCGACAAGTGGTTCAATGGGAAAAGTTGCAACACAACCAACCCAACCAAATACCACAAAACTTACCAAAGCGACCACATTCACCAAAGGGACCTTATTTTCCTCCACCAAACTACCGCACCTACCAACTACCAACACAAACCATCATTTAGACCTCAAGCACACATACCCATAATATCACCACCCCAAATGACCCAACCTAGACCACCAATGAATCTACCTCCCCAACGTATGCCTCAAGCACCACTGAGGAGTGACAATCTCGCTCCTCCACCACCCATACCACCTCAAGAGCCTCGAATGATTAACAACCCACTTTTTCAACATGATGATGAGACCACCTTGAATGAGTTGGACAACTTCCAACAAGTTTTCAATGTCGAATATAGGGGGGATGAAGTGAACCAAAGGGGAAGAGGCCAAATAAGTATGAGAACATCCTTGAAAAATGCAAAGAGAAAACATAAGGACGAGAGACAAAAGAAAGAGAGAAGTGAGGGAAAGAAAAGTGACAAACTCTAGAGTGGAAAAAGGAGAGGAAGTGTGGAGTGAAGTGAGTGAGTCGTCACAAGAAAAGAGTGAAGAGTTTGAAAAGAAAATGAGAGAAAAGAAAGAGGGAAAACAAAAAGAGAGTTGAGGATTTTCCTTATTCTAATGCTACTAACCTTTCTTCACGGATGCAATAAGTCTATGTTAGCGGCTGCGGCATCTTGCTGGGAGGGTTCAATTTCAGCAGCTTGCCGCAGCTTCAGACATTCGCTATCAAATGCACTTGTCATCATTTTCTGCTTTGAAACTGCATCCTGTGCAGCTTTCAAGGCCTCTTTTCTCAGCTCAGCCTCTTCAGGATCCTCTTCCTCTCCAGGTCTAGCTTCACTGGAACTTAACAACATTTCTTGGTCATTTGTCATTTCATCACCTAAAGTCACAGCCTCAGAGGATAAAGTTGATTTATTTTGCATGAAATGGCTGTAAAGTTCAGTTTGAGATAGCAGAAAGTTGAGCCTCTGTTGTTGTCTCTTTGCTTCACGAAGCTCCTGTTCACGCTTCAAAGCTTCTGCAGCTTCTTTTTCCTCCCTTTTCCTTACTTCTGCCTGCAACATTAAAAATTTTACATCTTAGGAAGTCCTCTTGTCAAACAGTCAACAGCAGAAACTCGTGAAGAAGTATGTTCTTTTAGCATATTCAGTCTTCTAGAGGAAACACGACTAAGGACATGCATCTTTATGAGTCCTTAATCCTGATAAATGTACACTTTCTTTTCTCATAAGTGTATCAATACTCCATTGCAAAGCTTTAGTAGGTAAACCAACATATAACCCAAAAACATATTGGCTGAAAAGAAACTCTTATGGCAACAATATCATCAATCTAACATGTCGTTATCATATAAAATAGGGACAGAACTAGAGAGCCAGAATAGGTGAATATATCTTTATCACCTTTCATTACTTCTTCAGGATAGTACAGGCTAAGATGAACATACAATGTGGTAATAGTCTGAAAACCATCAAAACAAAGAGCTGCATCTATGCTAATTAAGAATGCAGCTAACCATACTTGAAAAAAGAATGCAGCTAACCATGGCTGACTTTTCCTCCCTCCCTCCTCTCCGGCTGCTCAGGTTGCTCTCGAATAGCAACTTCTCATACATACCATAATAGCAAAAAGTTCACTATGAAATAATGTCAAAAAGGTAGAATTTAAGTACCATCTCCTTGTCAACTCTCTTCCAAAACACAAGCATGTCCCTAGCAAGTTTCCTTGTACGAATTGCAGCACCTCTCATCACCTTAAGTGATCTGCTAACTTTCATTTTTACCTGAAAAAGGGAACCCATCACTCAAGTAAGAACTTCCAAAAGACAACTAGCATGGAAATTTGCAGAATCGCACACAAATTTTGTTCAACAAGATCCAGGACGTGCTTACCTCTCTCTGACAAGTTTCTGAAAACCTCTTGGCATCAGTCAATTGCTTCCTGTGGAAATTGATGAATATCTTATGATGTTTTGGGATTTCTTTCCTGACAAGGTTTATCCAATATTTTCCAATCTTATCCATTTCTTCCTTCTCAATCACAGAGGGATCCTTCTTCAGTTTTGGCTTTTTGGGTAGACTACGTTCAATAATCTGGAGCTCCAAATGACCACTCATATGTAAGCAACATGACTGATGCCCATATAGCTATGAGATAAACAAAAACTGACTGCAATGCTAAAGAGAATTACTAACCTCATAGGTGTCTCCTTTCTCTAACACTTTCACATAATAAACCTGTAAGACACCACCCTCTGACAATATAGAACGCCGTATACCTCCTGCAGCCCCCTCAGGGATGGAAGAAGCCTCTAATGCAGCTTCGCTGACTTGCAGACTGAATTTCTGACCGGCACTATTAGCTGGCTCGGCTCGCAATCGTGCCTGAAGAGATTCAAATTGGGTTTTGGGATCACTCATACCTGCATGACGTTTGGGCCCAAGTCTCTTATCAGAAGCCATCATTGCAGCCAAAGTCTCCAAATCAAGTGTACCCTTGAGGTAAATTTCATTAACTTGAATGTCTGACATGGTTGGCAAATTCAATAATGTTGCCAGCTTTTCATAGGGTGGAGGGATCCTGTATGTGATGTCCTCCCCGAGATCCAAGAAAGCCGGTTCATAAATAGATCTGCAAAAATTCGAAAAATGAGGTGACACACTTTACCTTTTGGAGGCTTAAAATAAAAAATAAAAAACAACTTGGGTAAACATATTAACATTCATTTCAAAAGATTAGGCGAAAGCAGAGAGACAAACCTATCACCACCATATGGTCCTGAAAAATCAGACTGAATATGGTTCCCTAACTTCTGAGTGCTATTGTTAAAAAATTCTGATGCAGAGTCAAGCCTGAGTGCTCCTCTATGATCATTTGTTGATTTCTGGTCTCTTGATCCTCCACTTCTCATCGCAGGCACCCCATTACGAGTAGCTGCAGGGCTTGCTGAGGAATTACCAAGCCTCCTCTTATACTTTTGAACGTGTTCTCCCAGCATTGCTCTATACCTTTCCTCTGAAATATGGGTATTATAACCTCTGTCCCCATCCCCGTCTTCATCACTACTATATGAAGTCCGCCTCTTTTTCTTCAACTCCCTACCAGACATTATACCATTACTCCGGTTCCTGGGTGCTCCACCTATCAACCAACATAAGATGCGGCTGATTATTACAACACTGCATTAGCTTAACTTTTCATTGCCTAAAGAAAGTCAAATTTGCATTATAATAGGATAAAGAGTGTGCATTTGCTAACTCAAAGATTTCTTTCTTTTGGACCAATATTAGTAATAAATGATTTTTAGTGAAAAGAATGTGTTATCAGTCACGAATTTAGTCTTATTCGGACATACTTTTTTATAAGTACACAATTTTAGTCCTAATTGGTCATACTCATCGACCCAAATAATAAAGAATTCAATTTAAAAGAAAAAAAGACAATGTCAAGAAAGAATGTCTACCTGGGCTACCTCTGCTCTCATCCTGACTACTATTCCCATGATGATCAAAATCATCATCCAGTTGGGGCAGCTGGAAGTTAATCAATGACTATCCAAAAAAAAAATATTAAAGGGAGTAAAATAAGATCCAAACTTTAACTAAATTAAGAAGTTCCGCGGCACCCTACTTCTTGTATACGGGAGTTTTCTCCCTTTTGATTAATACAATTTACCTTCTCAAAAAAAAAAAATTCCGCACACCCAACTGAAATTCCAAGAAAAACCCAGCTCAAATAAATTAACAATCTCTAGAAACAAGCAAATATAAATAGATTTTCTCGAAGAATACACCAAAAGAAATCCCCCACACAATGTCCCAACAGTAATACTAATTACCAGGATTTTAATAAAGCAAGACACTATTTTGAGAACCCAACTGACATTCCAAGAGAAACCCAGTTCAAATTAAATTGAAAATCACTACAAACAAGCAAAAAACTAAACTTTCATGAAGAATTAACCATCGAATCCTTAATTTGTAACAAAACAATCCTAACACTAAGTGCCGAGATTTTAACATCAGAAGACACCCTTTTGAGAATAGAACAACGTATTAAATAAAAGATCACTCCAAACATGCAAAAAAAAAAAAAACATTCTTCAAGACTTAACCATACCCTAATTTGTGACAAAATTATCCTAACACTAACTAGCAAGATTTTAATATCACAAGACACCATTTTGAGAATGGAACAAAACCTCGCATAAATCATAAATCACAACAAACATGCAAAAGAAAAAACTAAACCTTCTCAAAAAAACTAATCATCAAATCCCTAATTTGTAACAAAGTAATCCTAACACAAACTACCAAGACTTAAATATCAGAAGACACCTTTTTGAGAATAGAGCAAAGCCCATAAAAGATACCTCAAGAAGCGCTACAAACTAGCCAAAAAATATAAACTTTCTAGAAGTTTTAACAATCAAATCCCTTATTTGTGAAAAAGGTTATTGTAAAGACGCCATTTTGAGCATAGAACAAAACCCATATAAATTCACAAGTTCCACACACCCAAATGAAATTCCAACAAGAACCCAGTTCATATTATATGAAAAATCACTCCAAACATGCAAAAAACTGAACTTTAATGAAGTATTAACAATCAAATCCCTAGTTTTGTTACAAAATTATCCTAAAACTAACTACCACGATTTTAACATCACAGACACCCTTTTAAGAGTAGAGCAAAACCCAAAAGAGATAGCTACAAACATGCAACAAAAACAAAATATCTAGCAAATTTATCCATCAAATCCCTAATTTGTAACAAAATCATGCTAACATTAACAATGAAGATTTTAATATCATAAGACACCCTTTTGAGAACAGAACAAAACCCACTTCATATTGTATCAAAAAAAGAATCACTATAAGAAGGCAAAAACATAACTTTCTCGAAGAATTAACCATCAAATCCCCAATTTACCACAAAATTATCCTAACACAAACTACCGAGATTTTAGTATCACAAGACACCCTTCTGTGAGTAGAGCAAAACCCATAAAAGGTACCTCAAGATTGAAGAGATTCGAGTAGGAATATCGCCTCTTTGGGTCCATGAATTATGTTGTTTGAGCTGAAAAAACAACAGCGGGGACAAGCATTTGGTACAATAAATAAAAATAGCAGAAAAAGGAAAATTTGAAGAGAGGAATTTGTAATTGTGATACTAATAGTAAAGAAGAATAAGAGAAGAGAAAACCCTAACCCTAAAGGAGAAAAGGGGGGATAAGGAGAAAGGTGATGGGTGTAACGAGAAAGAAGAGAGAAGAGGAGGTGGTGAAGACATTGGTATATGCTAATGTGCGCCATAGAGGGTTAACTTTGGTTAACGTGCGCTATAGTGACCACTCTTTTAATTTCCGAGCTCTTTCTTTCTGTGCCTCAGTGTTTGTTGTGATGGAGGGAAGGAGCTTACCATTAAATAGAAAAGCAATCCTATCAGGATATTTTTTTAATTTATAAGGCTCGGGTTTAAACTCGAGACTTTAATTAAGAGTGCAAGAATCACCCAACCACAATCTTCGGTATTAACTATGGATTCATTAACCATGAATCATGATATAAGGGTTACATGTCCCAAATAACATTATTCGAAGAAAAAAAGATTTTATAACATAAATTATTATGCATTAGGGTGTCAATACAACTAAACGTGTAAGACGTCGTTTGGATGAGAAACAAGTTATCTCATGATTAATTATCTTGGGATTAATTATCTCAAAATTGTTATCCCACCTTTTAATAGGGATAAAAATAATACTATAATCCTGAGAGAATTATTATACCGAGATTTTATCTCAACCAAACGTGGGATAAACTCATCTCAAATTTAATCCCGAGATTAATTATCTTCTCCCTCGTACCAAACGAGCTCTAAAAGTTAGAGTTATCTATACGCTTCACCAACGATAGATGTGTCTAACTATGGATATACTATAATTAATAAAAGTAGTGATAAAGATTAAAGTGAGCTAGCCAATTTTCAATCATGTAAATAAAAATAGTTAGTATCATAAAATTTTATATTTCACTAGTAAAACCTTAGTAAAAGCATGAGAAATCAGGTCAGATAATGGGATATGTTTCTGATTATAAATGGTAAGTCGCACCCATATAGGTGTAAAAAGTGCTACAATATCAATCAAAGTGCGTATGTCATAACAAATTTATCAAACAAATTAAAAAGAGATAACTATAGATAAATGAGCTATTTCTACATTTTATTTAAACTTTAGAAGAGAACTAGTTTTAATATTAAAAAAGGTCAAGACCTCATCATGGCATAGAAGAGATATAACTATAGCTTTAGAATTGGAAGCTAAAGCTTTTCTTTTTCTTTCATGGATTTAACTCATATGCACTAATTATATAAATGTTTCATACATAATAGGTGCATAAAACATAAACTTTTTTTTTCTTCTTATTTTTTGGGGGATGGGAATTTTTTTGTGTTCTACACTTTAAGTGAGCGTTTGGACATAAGGATTGTAAAATTCTAAAATACGGTAAATAAAAAGATTCAAATGAAAATGGTATTTAAAATTTAAAATTGTGTTTGGGCATGAATATAATTTTAGATTGTTTTTAAAATTTTGTGAGTAATTTGAGTAAAAATTTTGAAAAAACAGCTTTTAGGAGTTTTCAAATTTTCGAAAATTTCAAAATGCATCTTCAAGCGAAAATTGTACGAACAAACGCCGATTTCGGAAAGAAGTAAAGTTTTTTTGAAAAAAAAGGAAAAGATTTCTAATGTCCGAACGGGCTCTAAATATCAAGCTTTTGTCTATAGCAAGGTTCAAATATCCGACATGCGACTAACTCATACATCACTTAAAGACTAGGTTAAAACCCTGTGAAAAAGTACAATACGAGAGACTAGTAGATATATAGCAAAGGCATATAGCCCCTGTTAGCATCATAAAGGGGGCATTCTTACACTGCCATTACAACAATTTTGCGTAGCATTCATTCTAACTAGGCTGGAAATCAGGAGATAGTTCATACTTTAAATGTTCAAAAGGGATGATATTTCTAGCAATACAAAATTCGCGGGGCACATTAGCATTCAAACTCCTGGGGTACTCGAGTGCGCCAACAATTTATCACTCCTTCCACATATCTGCAAATTCATCTACCTCCAGCGGATTAGACAACTGATGCATTTTTCTCCTGGTCTTCGCTTTGACTTTCTTTGCATATTTGCCAGCCTTTTGTTTCTTCTCTAGTGATCGGATCTGGAGCACATGAAGAGGAAAAAACATTAGGAACTGTACAAGAGATGAATCGTACAAAAAGCAACTGGGGAGCAAGAGAACGAGGAGCAAGTGATGAATCATACCTGGTTTGGTGCAACGTAAAATGGGTTCTCATAAAGCGTAGGGCCACCAAAGCTACCAGCAAATATCTTAATTGGGTTCAAGCAAAACCTTGGGCCAACCTACACACGTAAAAACGTAACTTCAATATCAAACATGATGGTTTCTTATCATTCGGGCTCGTCAAAGTTTGATTACAAACCTCTACAAGCGTCATCTTTTCTAGGTCCCCGCGGTCTATTTTCTGTGTTCCAGTATGAGGACATGATATCTGCTCCAGAACGTCAAGGAATGATGTGAAAAAAGGTTAGACTACTTGGTATAGATATAAAGAGTACCAAAGAAATGACAGAGCCCTTTTTACTACAAATCAAAAAAGAAATAACAGAATTCTTTGAGGTGAATGATATTAGACATCTATTTCGCTAATATAGCTAAAGAAATAGATTAAATCCGATAATTCAGCATTTGATTCGAGGGGAGACCATGGACTCCCACTTCCACAGCACACAAGTTAGTGGTAGTATGCGTCAAATGGCAGAAAAGTTACCCATCCATGGATTTCAAGACTAGTAATATTAGATGATCTCATGTATCACTTCTGCTCCTATATTTAACTAAGAGGCTACATATTCTCTCTGTTCCTTTCTATTTTTGTTTTTTCTGGCTTTATTTAGTTCCAATTCTCAACCCCGAATACTGACTGAGTATTTATATCATCCTTTGGACTATAAAATATGTCATTTAATTTTCCTCTGTTTTTTTCTTTGAGGTTGCTTACTACATGATTTTGGTGAAAGAGAGGAACATGTGCACAGTTTTTGCACTAGGTCGAAACTCGGAAGAATGCGGCCTTGCACAACCAATGGGCAGGCCTAAGAAATTTCCCTCCAGGGGACCAAAATAAACAACTTGAAGCACACTTTGCTACGGGCAAGGATAAGCCGCAAAGAGAACTAATTTCTTCAAAAAAGAGCAACATTCACAACACTCCACTAGAAACACATTTTACCGTGGTACGAATAGCAACGAACCTGGTAATTACGGAACCATACGTGGTCATCTAGAATTGAGAACACAAATACATGATCATAGAAAGGTTTAGATTTCCGGTGATCCTTTGGGGTTCCAAAAATCTGATGAGACAGAAGAAAAAAGCGCGTAAGAATGTCATCACAGTAAATCAAGAAATCATGTCACTACAGAGCTAACAACTTTAAGAGGATTTACATAAATATATGGACAATGAAACGCAACTCAAACAAATAACCAATTGTATTTGAACCTTCAATCTCTAATGAAATCACGTTCAAAAGTTTGAATTTTCAAGAAAATGCTTTAACCACCAATTACTTTGAATAGCAGAAAAACCCCATTGAAGAGTCACTGCAGGCAACAAACTTCGATGAAGTAAAAGGAACAGAAAACAGAAGAAGTGCTTGTATAGGACCACAAGGCCAAAATGTATCAACAAAAATAGCATCTTCAGCAGACCAAACAGCTATCACCAAGTAATCACGTTTTTGCTTCAAACTCCTTCCAGTACAGAATTGCTTAAAAGTTTTGCTAAAACATAACAGGCAAAAAGGCGAAAATGTAGTATGAAACAATAGACTGCACTATTTTAGCTAAGAAGAATTATTACAAAGATCAATGTCTGAAAGAAGTCAGATTACCTGCATGAACATTTCTTTCAAAAGCTTCCAGTGAGGTTCTTTATTGAAATTGCTTGAGAAAGTCAGAATAGGACGTGAACCCTTCAAGTGATTTCCAGTAAGCTTTAATTCTTCCATCGTGTGCACTTCAAAAGCAAAATGAAAAAAGTAGAATAATTTAGATCTTTCCTCATTCAAGAGAAAACCAGGAGTGAGAGAAAACGTTTTTTTCCTGATAAGGAGGAGTGAGAGGACAAGTTTTATTTTCAGTTGACATACAATTTCAATGGCATTCCAATTACAAATGAACATGATTGATGAAACCATCTATTTCAATACCTGCATTGACTAAAAACTTCACAGATGGACCATTGGGGCATTTCGCCATCCATAGATAGAGATCTTTTCCCTTTCGGCACTGAAAGTAAGAAAATAAAAGCATATACATATATAAGAAGCAACCATAGCATAATGATTGAAACACAGAAATGATGAAACCATGTCTTTCAAAATACACAAAAACCGAATATGTTATTCAACAGAATTTCGGCTCACTGTAAGCAAGCCAAAAAAGTTACAGAGGAACTTCAGAAACCTTATATAAAGATATCTTCTAGAACAAATAGTCCTCAAGTCTCTTTTTGCTTATTTTCTGCAACAACTCAAACAGCCTCCACTATCAGTCATGAGCTAATCCAGAGGCTGTACTCCTCCTACCTGAGAAAATGTACTTGCTTGATTTTATTCTTCCCCAGGTTATATATTCCAAAAGATAAGGCCACTAAGAAGCTGGGGAATTGACCATCAATCTAATCCATGGCATGGCTGATTTTGTGCAATTTGGGGATGATCTCATGAGGGTAGAGAAGGCAAACAGGGAAGGGAACATTCGGTTTCCACTTTCCAGTGGAAGATTATAATCTTTTACGATGAATGTCCAACTGGTAATGAGCTTAAAATGCTCCTCGGACACATGGCTGTCCATCTTTGAATGCCCATGCATTTTATTGTTACGACTTTAATTTTGTCTAGGGACGTCTAGAACGATAGACATCTACAGGATAAATATGACTAATCCAACAGATGTAGATAGTTGGTAGGCTTGACCAGGAATAGCCCACAGTCTATCTTACCCAGTATATCTTCCTCTAAACAAGAGAAAACAGGATTTGACTAAAGGATGGACAGACAAGTAAAAACATCTGTGTTCATTTTCTTCGTGTACCCAAGTGGTTTATCATCGAAAGATGTTGCGACATCGTGATGCAAAGTCTGAGCGGTTCTGCTTTATCTCTCATGGTTTTCGATATCGCAGGTCGTACACTTATATTATAAGATAAGTATGGCCACCTTCAAGTCGATTTTTGACAAATGTCACTCCTACTACCTTGTTCAGTCTATTTGTAGCAAAGAGGATAAAAAATGGTAGTTTTCCTATCAAGTACCTGGATGTTTATTCATATACTTTGAAAATAAAAATAGCACTTCCTTTGGCAAGGGCATATATTTTCACAGGGGATTGCTAGATTATAAATGTTCATCAAACTTTGTTTCACATCCATATATAACAGGGTTTTAAATAGTTCATTGAAATCGAGCAACTAATTTAAATGATAGATATTGTAACTTATAATAAGTATTTTTTATGTCTTGGCAATAGAGTTACCCGATACCTATTCCTGGTAGGCACCAATTAGATACTAATACTAGATAATTTGATACTAAGACCATCTCCAAGGCTGCACCAAATGTTGCAGCAAATCCAAATTTGGTGCAAAATTTGGTGTTTTTTTGCTCCAATGGAACACCAAATCTTGCACCATTATAGAGCATGAATAGTGTTGCACCAAATCACACCAAATTTGGATTATTATTATTTTATTCATCTTTTTATTATTTGGACTTTTAATTTATCATATATTGTGTATATAATTAATTTTTATATTAAGATCTTTATAATTTTAATTTTATATCCTATTTTTTTTATATATTAACTTTTTGTATATATTATATTTATATAAAATTAGAAGTTAATTTTATTATTATTATTATTATTGTATAAAAAGAAATATAACCATTATTTAAAAATAAAAATTGCAAAGTAAGATATCTAATGTTGCTAAAATTGAAAAGTAAAAACTAAAATTTAAAAAAGAAAATTAACAATACATAAAATAAAAATACATTATAATTAAAGTACATAAAAGGAGGATACATTAAAAGTGAAATTACATTAAAAAACATAAATCCAGCATTTATGGGAGAATGGAGGCGAAAGTTAAATATTTATGTGGTACTTAAATTAAATTTGACTATGATGTAAAATTTATTTAATTATCTTTTATCAATGATTTCACTTTTAGTTGATTTATCCTTTAAAATAATTTTGTAATAAATGATTATATAAGTGGTGAATGTGAATTATATATAATGAATATGGAAAAAAGAAAAAAGATAGTATTTGTTTGAAGGAAATAAAAAATGAAAAGTAAATAGAAGATAATAATATAATATAGAAGAGAGAGAAGATTTGGTGTATAAAATGGTGTGTAATGGTTGGAGTAAATTTGGTGTTACACCATTTTGGTGTGAAATTTGGTGTTAGGGTTGGAGATGGCCTAATACTTCAAACCTCATTCTTTTTATCAAGCCCAATTATCACCAAAGCTACTAACAAGATACAAATTTTCACAAGACAACTGAAACAACATACAAACAACAACAACAACAAAAATTACCTCAAAGAACAAACAAGAGGAACAGCTCTTCAACTCAACAAGCTCATTCAAGGTTGCACCTTTAGCATCTTTAGACTCCACTTTGTTATCTTTCTTACAGTGTGGCAAAAGTGACACCAAGTTCAACATTAAATGTCTATACCTGAAAATACCCAAATCAACAAAACCAAAAAAGAATCAATCTTTTTACCATTTACAACAACCCAATCAACAAAACAAACAAAAAAAATCAAACTTTTTATCATTTACTAAACCCGTTTTTGAATAAAAAGCAAAAAGGAATACAAACCTGAAGCTAATACGGCGAGAACAAGTGACCAAAACTTTTTCTTTATTTCTAAAAGTAACAACTGAAGTTTCTTTATTTTCTTCTTCAGTACAACCATCTTTAAAACCTAATAGAGTTCTCTTTGGCCTTTCTATTGCAGTTTCTTCTTTGTTTCCGTTGGCCAAAGCCTCTGTTTCAGTGTGTTTTCTCTTCTTTCCCATTGTGACGCTGAAGAGAAAGAGGTATTTGCAGAGGAAGATGGCGGCAGGGTGTTGAGCCAAATAGAAGAGTAAACTGCTTGGGATTTTTGCAAGGATTTCAATTTGAGGTCTGATTTGTGTTTGGGCCGAATATACTGGGCGAAGTGCAAGAGTAGCCATTTTTAAGCATGCTATTTAAAATATATTTATATTTATAATGTATTTAAAGATTAGCCAATTTATTCAAACTTTAGGACTAAATATCCTAAATTTTTTAGCTTTTAATTTGAAATTCAGGATTAGTATGCTAAATTTGTGAACTGTTAATTTTAAATTGCTAAACTGCTAAGGACTAAGTATTCTGAATTGCTAAACTGCTAATTTAAAATTCTGCATATAAGATTCGAATATTCTGGATACAATTTTCGAACTATATAACATAATGTCCTTAATTTTAAACTTTGAGGTTTAAACTTCAGAGCGTCGTGTCCTGAAGTTTGAGCGAATTGACTAATCTTTAAATATATTGTAAACAATGGATATATTTTAAACAGCATAGTTAAAAGTGACTGCCTAGTGTCATTTCTACGAAGATGCTACATATTTGTAGGAATTTCACCCAATAGCATTCTCACCCTGCTATTTAAGTTATATCAAATTTTTTTCTTCAAATTATATAATTTGTAGCCAATATTGACGAACTTCACAAAAGTCTACCTTATTGACGTTTTGTTTCTTTTTAATGTTTTCATCCCAGTCTAGAATGAAGTTCCTTCATATACATGTCCAACAGCTTTTTAATGTTATGATGATTTGTTCGGAAATCAGAAAATAAAAATGTAAGTTCATTTCATGATAGTTGCTTAGATTCATAAAGTCATTTTATTCAATATGGTTCAATGGTACTATTGTCTTTATGATAATTTATCCCAAAGGATCTACCTTCTTTTGTTGACATGTTATCAGGGCGGATGCAATAAAGGTGAAGCGGTGTCACCAAGGGCGAATGCAGTAAAGGTAAGGTGTCATGTGGTATCGCTTCGTCATAAATTTTTGTTAAATATATATACAAATAATCTGCAAAATGCCATATAAGGTACAAAACTAAATAAGTGTGACAAGCTTGCCATCAAGCTCTTTCGGGCAACTGGTGTGGCGTCTGATTTATTTAGGCAAGGTCGCAAGATCGAGCTTGCTTGATGAGGTTTATATCTACATTTTTGTTTTGAGGGATTTGGGCTGGGGAAAAAATGACAAGGATTTGAGCCACTACAAGAATGTATCTCTTGAGATGGAGAGTATTTCTTGCCGTTGCTTTTATTTTTTTAGTCAAGTAAGTTACTTTTTCATTATATCGTTCTTTTACTCTTTTATTAGAATTTTTTAAAATAGTTTTACTTTATGAGTGTACTCTATAAAATTATTTGGAGGTTCTCAAATAGATATTTTAATTTATAATTCAACTTAAATTTTCATAGATTATTCTAAAGCATCTTCCAAGCTTTTAAAATCAAGTTCAAAATCTCAAAATGCATCTAATTGGAAGAAAGGGTCAATGGTCGAAGCAACATCGTCAAATTAAAGGAGTTAACTTAAATTTCCTTAGAGGTTGGCCCTAGGAAAAGATTGGCAACTCAAAAATATTGGCAAAATACATAGTTTACCCATTGACCTTGCACCCAAATTCCTGTTACACACCTTTCTACTACGGGCAATCTTTTACATACCCAACCTTTTAGAAGTGTGTCAATGACACACCACTTCTGTGTTTTACCACATTTTCTAAACATGTGTGTGTCACGCATGAATAAGGTTGTGACACGTGTCACTAACTTAAAAGTAGAAAAATAAAAAGAATCCATCCAAGTTTTATTGAAAAAATAAAGAAAAAGAAAAGGACTCCCCACCCAACTCGTCGGAGAATCCACTCCGGCCACCAATGTCGAGGGCAATCTTTGTATAATAATTTCACATTTTTTTCTACAAATGCACCAGGTTTCAATTCCACAAATTCATTAGGTTCCAAATTATGGCTACAAGAGAACCTTTTTTTTTTTAGAAAAACTAAATTAGCTCTCGGCTCCCCCATCTCTCCTGCGCATCATCGCAAGTGACCACCACCACCATAGCTGGCGCCACTCATCGCATCACCTTCGCATCCATTGAACTGGCAGCTTAAAGTTATAATTCTAAATTTTTTGACACATATTCAAATTTGACAAACCCAGCAACCGATTCAAAAATTTAAGTCCAATAACTGCTATAATCAATTACAAAACAACAACGAAAATTTAATTCAGTAAACAAGCTTAGCAATTCGGTCCAAACAATTTCCAACATTGTTGCGAGATTCTCCACCCAAACACCGATTCAAAAACTCAAGAAACCCCAACGATGGAGGTTCAAAACTTTCTCCTCCCAAATGACGATTCAAAAATTCGACACCACCACAAATCGTCGAACTTTTTGAATGGAAAAGGAAAAGATAGAGAAGATGACTAAATTACCTTATTTGATTGAATATTATGGTGTAAATTTGTAGATTGGGCTTTATCTTCTTTATGGTGAAGCTGTCGGCGAATTAGACCAGATGGTCTTTTCCTTTTCTTTCTCTTGTCTTTTCTTCATTTTTGTGTTTGTTTTATAAAATAATTTCCATCCTGGTTTAATTTTTTGACAGATGGCACTTAAATAAGATTTTGGACAAAAGGTTTATCTTTCTCACGCTCTTATTTTTTGTGTTAAACACGCACATGCCAGTTAAGCAAAATGGTGCCATTGACACACTTCTAAAATGTTGGGTGTGTAAAAGGTTGCCCGTGGTAGACAGATGTGTAACAGGGATTTGGGTGCAAGGTCAATGGGTAAACTATGTATTTTGCCCAAAAATATTATTCAAATAACCATGATGCATTAAGGAGCCTTTTCGAACCTCAAAATCACAATTTTTCTTAAAGAAAATTTATGATAAATTTGTAGCTTTGATTTCAAAGGTTTGTTAAGTATAATAGGTTGGAGTATACTGTAACCAAATATTATTCAAGATGAATACATTAATCAAGAGGGAGGAAATGTATCTTTAAGTATAAGTTTTACACCTGAGGGGATGTACTGAGGTTGAACCGGTGTCGAAAATGTCATTTTTTACTTTTTCAAATGTGACACCGCTTAAGGAAAATTCTGTGTATGCCACTTCATGTTACTTTTAATCTATTTTATTATAAAAGCATGAATAAAATATTGGTTTACAAAAATAACCTTTTATTGTTAAGCATAATAACCTACAAAAGGGGCATAACCGGTATTCTAGATATTAGCCTTGTATTCATATTAGTTTTAGGACATAGTATTATACGTTAGGAATCCTACATGATTATCTTTAGAAATCATATTAGTATAGTTATTTTCGGGCATAGATATATGATATTACATGTTAGTTTGTAAACTTAATACCTTTAGGAACACGTTAGATTTTCTATTAGTATAATTACTTTCGGGATATGGACATAATTTTAGCCATATAATACTATTACTTTTAGGATATACTTCTTAAGAAATTCCTCTAACTAATTTAATTTGAAAACGTATTATATTTTCCAAATTCATTTAGAAATATGAGAGAGAATATATATATATATATATATATATATATATATATATATATATATATATATATATATATATATATATATCTTATTTTTACTAAATATTCTATTTAATTGAATAAAAAAACTAAAGCCTAAAAAACCTAATACCCCTACATAACAATCACAACCATTAAGAAAAGTTGTACCCAATATGTTAATGTAGATCCATCAACCACTTTTGTTCTTATAAATACTCCACTATTATTATTTTCATAATCTCATCACTCTGTGTAGATGCAATATATGAACGATTGCATCACTTAGCATATCTTGGTGTTGCTTCAAAACTAAAATATAAGTGTTTTAGAAATTCGAAAACGAGATTTTTACTTGGTGTTGTTTCAATATATATATAGCCCGGGATCATTAGTTCGTGATTCTGATCACGGTCGGGTTACTACCAATAGCCCACGAAGCTCGGGACTGTTTAAGCCCAGCCCACGAAGCCCGGGCACACATAGGACCGGCCCACGAGGCCGTTTAGGCCCGGGCCCAACCCGTTTGCTAGCCTTAGCCTTGGCTTGTTGATTAGTGTTTTTTTTTTCAGTTCACATAATTGTCTTTAAATTAATTAACTGTCTTCAAATAGGTGTTAGCTTCAATCTGTTTATTTATGGTAAAAGTGATAACAAAATGCTCTTATTAGAGCTTTTCATGTTTTGCAGGTTACATACAATAAAAGAAGGCTATGGAGTACTTTTGGGATCAATTATGGAGGAAAAAGAGGCCAATCGTATAATATCCGCCAAGTGCACCATGTGAAATGCACAAACCAGAACTGGAGATGAACTGCCGCGGTCCCGGCGTAACCGCGGTCGGACCGCAGCGAGAAGCTATTGCAGATTCAGAGAGGTCATTTGGCCGCGGTCCTAGCGTAACCGCGGTAGGACCGCGGCAGGAGGCGTAAAATTGAGGGATTGAAGTACAAAACACGAAATTCTTAGCCCAAAAACCCTATTTAAACAATAGAACTTGCCCAAGGGAGGCATGTAATGTTTTTAGAGAGTACTTTGGCAAGGAAAACAAGTGTGAGATCACCCAAAATATCATTACTCTTATTCTTCTTTATTTTTCTTGCAATTTATGATTATGAATCTTTTAGTAGTTTATTTCCCCATTGTCATGAGTAGCTAAAAACCTTAATCTAAGATTTTGGTGGAACCCGTCGGGGATGACTTGGTTGTTTTTTTAATATAATTGAATTTGGTTTTTAATCTCTAATTGTTCATCTATGTTTTGATTGTGGATTAGTTGAAAGGGCCCTCAATTATCCGTTCCTATTTATTATGTATCTACTTGAGAGAGAGTGCATATTTAGGTGATTGTATGAACAACATCACTCCTGGAGTATAGACGAGAGTCATAACCGAGGGTTTAGGGGTTTGATTAGAGATGACGAAATCCCGGGTGCAATCTAAGTGAATTGTATTGTGAAATTAGCTAGCGTAGCTTGAGAGAGTGCGTCTAGTAGATTATCATAATTAC